GAGTGCACCTTCTGTCATAATCATAGGAGCCCAAAAAAAAAGGTGTAGGTTGAGCAGCAATCAAAAATAATTAATGTTATGATATTATAAGAGAATTTTTCGTCAGATTCCAGTTTTTCTTTAAATTCAAAAACCATACACATAAGCACTCCTATAGATAGAAACTACAAGTATTGTTACCATGATTTGTAGATTATAACGTTATTGAAAGCAAATTTACATTTCCTTAGATTATAAAAGTAACACATTCGACTCTGAACTTTTAGCAAAATCCGAACACTATCTATGGCTATATCTATTGAAATGATCAGTGAAAAAAATCGCTCTCGTTTAAAGGGTATATTATTTGGTGTGACATTTGTTGCGCCTAAAAGTAGGCACATAAGTTTATTATTGCTGCCAGGAGAAAATACTTCATAGTTCTCCTTTTTTTTTTTAAATAAAACTTTAATTTTACTGTTATTATTTACAACAACTTAAATTAAACTTATAGAAATATACAAATACAGCTTAAACTAGGAGTTTAGTCTTATTTTCATAGTTCTCCAAATATTGTATATTGTAACTTCTTTTTTTGTTCAAGTAATCATATAAATAACCACATTTTATACGTGCTAGCTTATATAATGATGCCACACTTGAATTTAAGCTAAATCGAAAACCTAGATCTAGTATTTATATGAAAATAGCTTATGCAGATCAAAATTGTATTTTTCGTTTTGGGATGTCTTGCAGCTATTTTAACCGGAAGTATCCCATACAACTGATCATCAAGAATACCTGCAGCGATAATGAACGGCTTCCGGAGCAAAGTTCCATGCATACTGAAGTTTCGATTAAGCTCGAAGCCAAAGAGGCCAAAACTGCACTGGGTGGTGGAAGTACGCCACCGAATACAGAGGATCCTGAAAATCACATTGATTTCGGCGCCACTGTCATGCAAGCAGATGTGAGTAAATCTAAATCGCTTACAATCAGAGGACCCTAGAATTGTTTAGCCCCATCCCTTTTTAGCTGCAGGATCTACGCAACAGCGTTAATCCCGATACAGAGCTCAACGACATTACAGTTCCGTGTGGCGATGAAGTGCGTCTTCTGCTCTTTGCGCGTTGCGATCGTGAGAAGGAGGATTGGTATCGGCGCTTCATTTGTGCCAGCAAAGGGCGTGTGCATGAGCAGGACTTGCAGGTGCCCCAGGCGCGTTTTGTCGAGGACACTGATTTACAATTGGCTGCGGCGCGCGAGGCTGTGCGTTTGACCAGCGGTGGTTCCAAGGTATCATTCGATCACGCCCAATCGTAAATAGTATTTAGTACCTATCTAAATTTTTTGTGCGGCAGCGTAAGCGCAAGGAGGGTGAAGAACGCCAATTGCAAATCAATGATAACTCATCTCAGACTTCTCTCCACGAGGATGGAGGAATAAATACTCCTGACGCAAATGAGGATGCGCCGGAAGAGGACTGTACACCTGACGTGCCAAAGGAGGAGGGCTTTGAGGGTATGATAATGAGCTCTGACGTGGCGCGCAATCCACCCGACTACGTCCGCTTTATGACTGTCTATCAGGTAGGGGTGAATAAAGGCTTATTACAGATAGTATATGCTCTTATTATTTGTTGTGAAACCTAATTCTTGGTTTTTATAAGTTCCACCTACTTATGATTTTGTCCCAAATAGAAAGCTTGTAATCAGACCCACATACCAGTACACCGAAGTACCGCCATCGATGTTCGAACCCACCATCATGGGCATCGTCATAGAAAAGTATGTTAAAGTTATAATTTTCTTGTTTTATTACCATTTTTTTGTATAGCATTGTTAACATTACCTTTAAGAAACGATTTCAATTATATGCATACTATATTAAAAATGTTTATAATCCAATAATTACTAAGTCAACTTTGGTTTTATGTTTTATTAATATTATTATTTGTATTGCTCATGTTTTTCTAAAATACTGTGCTTTTAATTGCAAATAGTCCCGTCGGTCCAAACGACAAGAGGACGAACTTTGGAAGGGGATCGATCAGTCGCTGTTTCTGGGCCCATCAGGCAGCATAGTCTGGGCCAATGTACTTGTGGGTCGTTGCCTTTTTAGCTGGCTGCACGATGAGGCACTACATGAGAAGATCAAGGACTTTATGCAAAAGAAATTAAATTCAATTAAGGTAAGCCTAATACTCCTTTTTTTAATATTTCCTTGATACTGATTGTGGTTGTGAATTAAAGCTACCGAGCTTCATGGAGGAGGTGATTATAACCAACATATATTTGGGCCAATCGCCCATGCTGGTGCATCGTGTTTCCCAGCCGATGTTGGATGAGCGCGGTGTCTGGCTAGATGCGGATATTACGTACGAGGGTCTATCGCATATTACTGTTACTACAAAACTGAATTTGTTGCGTGTGCGTGCCAAATCCAAAGCACCCCAGGCTTCTGAGAATGCGCCGTTACTGATACCAGATCCACAGTTAGACTCGAACGCTGCTTCCGAAGAAGTGCTGCGCGATGCCAACAGCAGTGTGATCTATGACAGCGATGCCGAGAGCTCTGGCGGATCTTCCACAGAATCAGAGAGTCCGCCACCAGGTGCTGCCAATGAGAATGCAGGAGGCAATGAGTGAGTTCATAGCTACAACCATATAGCAGCAATATTTAAAACAAATCCATTTGTTTCAGATTCTTCCAAAATTCACCGGGAAATGCACGACGTATATTTAAAATTGTCGATCGCATAGCAGCTTCGAATCTATTCCAATATGCCACCGAGCTGCCGTACGTCCAGCGCGCCATGGAGAACATGAGCGCCAACATAACGTTGCGTGTGGATCTGAAGGGTCTCGTGGCACGGGGCACACTCAATGTGCCTCCACCGCCGTCCGATCGCATCTGGATGTGTTTTCGGGGACCACCGCGTCTCTGGATCTCAACGAAGCCGCAAGTGGGTGATAAGTCTGTGGATTGGTCCATTGTTACCAATGTCATTGAGAGCAAATTGTGCGAAGCGGTGAATAAATTTTTGGTTTATCCAAACATGGTTGACTTTACCATACCATTCCTAAGTAAGCCGAGCTATGACGATGAGCCGCCAGCTTCATCCAACTAAGTAAACTCTTTTCTACCAAATATAATAATAACGAACAAATTTATGTATTTGCAACTGCAATTGAATTTAACACAAAGTGTATAATGTCTTGTGAATTTTTAGTTCTGAGATTATAGCTGCATTATCTCTGTCAAGCTTAGCTTTAGTTGCGGGTCAGAACTAAGATCTCGCTCCATATACTTACATGAATAATTAGTTATAAATAACAAGAAAACTAACTGCATGCAGTTTAATTTCAAATTCCAAGTGACAAATAAGAAGCGCTTATTATTTGTTTTTCACAACAATCTAGAAATCTAGGAAACACTATATATACTATATATTTAATTTTAATTTACATATAAACACAAGTAACATGAGTAACTTTTGACCAAAACCACACAACGATGATGTGCAGAAGTATTTTTTTAAACACAACCGCTCTGTGAAATTTACATAAAAAGTATTCCATAGCATATTGCAGGCATATAGTATATCTTAATAATCTAACTTATATACAAATATGTATTACACACTACTTTTACCAATGCTACAATAATACCAATACGGTTACTAAGAATGCGCGTGAATTTTTTAACCTATGATAAGCGATATGGATTTTGGAAGATATACATGTTTATTTTTTTATACAAGTAAGTCGTACAGAACACACTCCTAAATGTAAAATCGTACTTAAAACATCATAAACATAACATAAATATTTATGGCGTAATGTGTGCAAAAATTGCAAACTATTTCCATGGGCTCCGACTTAACGAACAATATCATTTACAAAATATGCATAGTTTAAAGAAGGCGGAAATGTTTTTGCTATGTACGAGTATTTATTAAGTTAGATTGTAATTTTATTTACATGTATTTATGTCTATATTAAATATGTAAACTGCTTTGAGAAATCTTTGTTTTCTTAACTATCCATACTTATCCAATATAACCTGAAATATTTATGTAACATTTATTTAAAACATTTTTATATAAAAAATTAATATATATATATATACAAGGATATTCTAAAATATATACATAGAGAAGGGGATTTGAATTTGTCTTAAAGGAACAGAATAGATTGGAGTCCACAGGTCTGGTATTTTCGGTGTTTTTTACCTACATTTGTATTGTAGCAGAAAAAGCGCTAAAGACGTAGGGGGGAAATATGTTAGGAACAAATCATAATTATTTAGATATTATGTATATTTTTCCAGTGTGGCAATCAATAATTGGAGTCAGTTTATTGCAATTTAATTTGTTGGTGACAGTATGTCACGTAAAATAATATGATTTGTGGGGAAAACTTATTCGTATTTCCCTGTCTATTATTCTTTGGCTGTAGCTGTAGTGAAACTTTCAGAATTGTCTGTCCTTACCATTTTGTGCCAAGTCGAATGTTAAAGTAGCGCTCGCCCTACTCCTGTACCCTGTGCCTGTAATATGATTGCCAAATGAGAAATGATATTCGCTTTGATGCGGAAAAGATCTCCAGCGGGGACAGACCCACATGTCTAGAAGAATTCATCTCGACATTCTGATCATAAATACTTTTTGGGTCTGCTGCGCCTTCATTTAGTTGTTATAAAACCTGAAAACAGGGTTAAAGAGTACAAGAATGCGTAACTGAAATCCTTAAGCTGCGCTGCTTTTTACTCGCCTTAAAGCTCACTGCTACGATACTCGAAAGCTGATGGGGCAAAAAATACCAAAACGCGTCTTTTTGTTAGGATAAACGCCGTTGTTAGTTAAGTATACACATGCTAAAGTATTTAATTTAAATACTTTCTATTGCGATGATATTTAATATAGTCTGTTTTAAAATGTGTTTTTTAATTTTTATTTATTAATTTCTCATTTTTATTCACGTTCACAAATGTACAATAAAGTTTGTCATTTTGAGGCTTTTAATTCAATATCTTTTTTGTTTTTTGCTTCGTTCAAAAGTACATTAAGTAAACTACAGACATACGTGTATAATATGAATTAATAATAGGCATATTGATATATTTATATATAGAATTCAAAAATGTACAACATTTATTTTTAACAAAAAGAGGAAGAACGCGCATTCTTCTCGCGTTCTTCAGTAGTTAAAAAACTCGAAAATAGCAAACAACTAAATTTAAAACTTAAATATACAGACTTACAACTAATACACATAGTACAACTTTAATCTTAATGTTTTCCATCTTCTTTTTTGTTTTTGTCGAATTATATATGTATGTATGTATGGTTTTTTATGCATTGCTAAAAGTTAATTTTCAAAATGGAATATTTTCATCCATGACTTCATATACTTGTAAGTAGTATGTTTTCGTGTGATGTCTTTGAGTGGTTTTACTTTTTTAATTCTTTGCAATTGTGAATTTTGCAAACATTTAAAAAATTGATATACTCGTATGTATTTATTATAAGGTAGAACTAAGCAAATTATTAACAATGTATATATAAAGTAGAGTACTACTTAAAAACTAAAACTGCTATCAAAACAGGGTGTTTCAAGTGTTTACTTGTATGTTCATATCAAACTGTTAAAACAAATATGCGTTCTTTTTTCACTGTGTGTGTCGGCAAATGTTGAGCAACCTTTATGTTGTTGTTGTTGTTTTTTTTTTGTAATGCATAATTAAATTTGTTTATGATGCGTTTCGTTTGTTTTGTTATTTTGTTTTTTGTTTGATTTGTATATAATCTTAGTTTAGAGCTTCAGCTGTAAGAATGTTGTATGTATTTATGTATGTTTGTATCGTCCTCGAAGAGAGTTATGCGGCAAATGCATCGAGTAAGTTGGGTTACTTGTTCTCATCGTTTGGTTCTATATTTCTATTTGATTTTCCTTTGAGCACGTCATGGTGTTCGTGTGGGTTGGATAATTTATCTCAATACTCTTCCTCTCCTCTCACTGTTGCTTCTTAATGCTGTAATTTGCATGCCTGGTAAGCTACTTTTCTACTTAAAACTTGCACAACATGTCCTTTGGCGAATCTCAGAAATTTACAGACGCATGTCATGGTATTTGGCAAAAGCTTTGCACAGAGCAAAGGCAAGTATTATTAGAACTAAATGCGCAATTCCCACCACTATGACGCCAATAATAAGCTCACGCTGACGAATCAGCCAATCAGTGAAGACCTCGTAGCAGCCCTGCATAGAGTTTAGATATATTTTAGATAATATTTATGTTTCTGCTTAGTTACTCACCTTCATAAAGAAGCTGTTGCTCTCGGTGGGGTTTGTCACACAGTCCTCATCGCGGGGCACCATCTCTGCCACATCCTTCAATATGCAGCAGGCTTCGGGTATGGTCCGATTTCCCTTGCTATTCTGCCACGCTGGGGAGCCATCGAAATCGCGATAATCATTAATGCCACAGCAGCCGAAATTTCCCATCAACTGGTTCCACATCAGAGAGGTCGCGTCCATATCCTCGCCCAGCGAATAACTGGTGATTGTGGTCTGCAAAAAGTTTTTGCTCTCGGCCCGCACCTTCTCCTTGTAGAAAGCAGCCAAGCCGACGGCCACTATTTCCGCGATTAGCAGCAATACCAAAAATGTGCCGTACTGCAAGTAAAGAGCATTGTTTTAAGAATTGTTGAATATGTTTTCCACACATACTAAAATACATAAGTACAGAATGTCTTATTTAGCTCTACGATATTGATTTCAGTCACGATATTAATGAATGTTTTTCCAAAAGAGACCTACGCTTTATAGCTTTAAGTTGAAAAATTAAAGTCTGTTTGCATGTTCCTTATTATACATTCGTTTAAGAAAACAGATTATGGAATTGGATAGAAATTTTGGATTGTTGTTGGGCACATCCAGCGTGGTTTCGGAAAATTCGTGCCACAAATGGGGTTAAAATAGCAGTTAAAGTTGATATGAAAACATAAAAACAAAAGAGTCTGTTAGTTTTGAGATGGTCTCTGAACATTTATTATACTGAATAGCTGAAGGAGTTGGTCGTTAAATCTTTAAGCCGTTGATTGGATTCCCAGAATACTTGTTAAAAATTGGCGGCTTGTTTCTTGTTAATAAATTCGATTAACTCTCAGGTATCTACTCAGCACGTATATTTCTTTGATAAAAGTGCGGCAATAAAGGACAAAGACTAATAACTGAAAGGAATAGACATTGGTTTGGAAAATTGGAAACCACTCTACCCCACCTACTCATCGAGGATTGCTGTTTCATTTATACGTGGCTATTTTGTAATAATACTACATTCTTTTCGGTCTTCGACTACAATCAACAAGGTAGTTTTCCCAAACTGATGAATGTATTTGCCTTTTATCTGTAGAATATTGACTGCTCGTATTACGTATACGCCCGGTCTGCAGCTGACCCAATTCATACAAGTATGCTATTCGTGGCTTGAGACTACACTGGCTGGCTGGCTGCATAAAAATCTATGCGTTTGACCCTGAGCTAAATGTGCGGCACGCGTAGAGAATTGTCCGTCTCTCTGTTTGTTGTTATTGTTGCTGTTGCTGTGGCGTGGAGGCTGCTGTCGGTGGTGAGCTTAGACGCACTCACTCACACTTACTGAGCGAGCTGCCACTAAATGCAAGCAGGCAAGGCATACCCAGTTTATAATGCTGAAGGTCATTCAAAATGTCGTCCCTGTAGTTGTGGTTGTTGTTGTTGCTGTTGTTGCTGTTGTTGTTGGTGAAACCCAGCATGCTGCATGTTTTGAAAGCCTTTGCGGTTTTAATTCTTCGCCACAGACAAAACACGAACCAGAGCAGCCCAACATAATGCCAGCATCACTTTGCTGATGCATTGGCCCGATATCATGTGCAGAATGTTGTAGTTAGTTATGTATTTTTGTTGTTATTGTTACGGCTCGCTGCCCTGCACATGTGTGGGCGCCGCTTATGTTGTCTGTGCGGTAATTGTGGGCGTGTAAGCGCGTCACCCCACGAGGTATACTTGTGTATGAGTGTTGTATGTATACTATATACCTAGATTCGCTTCACGAATAGATAATGCATTTGTTGGTGTTCCACAAATGCCGATATAATTCAGAGATAAGTGGTGCATACACTGATAAAAAACGTTGCATAGTACGGATGAATATTTTCATATTAAATTTAATGTTCATCTATTTCATATTCAAATCAAATATAAACATCGTAAATTTTACTAAAAACATATTCAATTAGTGATTGTAATGTGAATAATATATTCATATTCATATGTCATATTCAATTTAATGTTGAACCATATTAAATATTAATATGCACACACTTCAAAAAACAAATAGTTACATTTACTATATTGCATAGTAAATTATAATATTTTTTTGAACTTTATTTTGAAGTTTTTTGTAGTCTTTTTAAATATACTAGAAATATATTTAATTTCAATTGACTAGAATTCTCAAGTCGGTTTTCAGCGGTTGAGTGGTATAAGTATGTGTTATTCAATCAGCTGCTTCTCACTTTTAATATTAATATTGAACCAACCTATATTTGTACTAAAAGGCTTAAAAAACATCAAAAAAATTAACATAACAAAATTAACATAACAAAAGAACTTTAAAATTACTTTCTGCTAAAAATTGTGGTGTTCTATAGATAAAAAATATACAGGTATATAGAAATAAAATATGCATCATGATAATGTTGAAAAGAGTTAAAAAAAAACAGTAACGTAGACAAAAAAGTTGAACAATATTTTATAATTAAAAAAAAATACCTTTGGCGTGAATCAAACCCACGTCTTCACATTGTGATTTAATATCGTCACACTTTAAATTTAATATTTTAATATTAAATTTTTAAATTTAAGTGTGGACACTTCATATTTACTAAAACACATGATGGTGCAAAATCGATGGTAAAAATAGTTAAATCTACGTGTAAATATTGAAATTTCCGTGCTTTTTTTTTATCAGTGTAGATGTAATAAATGGTTCTTGGTCTTATCTAAAAAACTATTCTAAATCGAAAATTGGGAATTACGAAATGTAAAACAGAAATGTTCAGATAGATACCAACAAAAAAAAAGATGAAAGTAATTCTAAAAATGAAATCTGTTTATCGAATGACTTTTGATTGGTCATGTGTAAATTCTTTGAGACGTTTAAATAATTATGCTTTGACTTAAAATAATACGTTCATTTGATTTTATATATACCTATGTATATTAAATTCAAATAATAATCGAAGGTTCGAAGTGATTAAATAAGTCTTGTTGGAACAAATACATTTGTTGAATTAATCCTTTCGAATAGGTTGTCGGGTGTTTTTTCACAATTTTTAAATAAGCAGCTTCTTTTCCTGGCAACCTTCTGTTTCGATATAATTAGTTTTCCCACGAACAAAAGTGAAAAGTAGTTTTCAAGCTTTTGCTCAAAACTTTCGATCGCAATAATTCATTATAAAACTATCAATACAATCAGTAGGAATAACTATAATATCTGGAATTATCGGGATAGGCATCGACTAAAGACAATGAAGGTGAAAGGGTGAAATGTAACTTTTGTAAAAAACACTATAATGGTGCGCACGTTTATTTTTTTTTTTTAAATTTTAAGATAGATAGCCGCACAGTGGTGCGGAATTAAAATTGTACTATTAGATACAAGGAAGCTTTGCTATAAGTTTAAATTAATCGAACAATTTGTTCCTCAAATCTACATATATTACTCTGCAGACATTCTTAAAGCACAAATGAAAGGAACTTAAGAACCCTCAAAAAGCAACAGTCCGGAAATATTTGAGAATCAAATAATGTTTATATTGGTAGCATTTGTTATTGCTGCTTCAAACTGCATTCCAGATATCTATTGTTAACTTTGAATTTGAAAGTGAAATCGATCAAGTGGTTTTTTCTAGTATTTTATTATGTGCAGCCATTAAGCATGCACACCAGTCAGTCTTTTCAATAAAAATTGGCCCAAATAAACTACTACAATTGCCAATGTCCGAAAATAAATAAATGTGAGGTGAAAAAAATCAATGCTAAGCCACGCATTTGCAATGTTAACCTCAGAGACCTTGAGAGGTACTGTAAGTGCCCTTGTGAGCAAAGCACTGCATTGCTGCTGATACATATACACACAGATGTGTTTAAATTTGGACACACATGTTGATAATGTTAAAGCTGAAGTTTGATCGCACACCCACACCCACGACTATGCAAGTCGCGTGTTGCGGCTCGCTGCGCATGCGCAAAAGCTGAAATCCAATAGATAGTGACAGCAGAAACAACATGAACTAGCGACAATGTTTACACAACAATCGTCTCTGCTGACTGCGTTATTCGCAGAGCATACACTACATACATACAGGTATGTATGTAGTTAAGTGTGTGCACACTTGCATTCAGCTGTCGCAATTAAATTGGCCAAGCCCAGCAACTAACGTGGCCTGCACTGAATGTAAAGTTCAGGCGGAAAATTAAAAGCGTAAATAACGCTAGCATACAAAATACTGCGTAAGCATGTGTGTGTATGAGTGTGCGTGTGTGTGTGTGTGTGATAAATTATATATTAATTGATGCTATGTACTTGACTGTCTGCGCGAAGGTTGACCAACAGCAGACATTGGCTGCTGGGTGGGTGCTGTTGTAGAAAGTTGCACTCAACGAATTACTTGTATGAAGCTGCCTTTGGGTGCCATAAGCATTTGAAATATGCAGGTGAAATTGCATAGGAACATACAAGTACATACATACATAAATGCATATATATATATATAGATGTACATAGAGCGATTGGGCAGAAAACAGGAAAAAGTGAAGGGCTTGTCACATTCGCACTCGTACTTGCGACTCATGCCCCCCGACGTGCACGAAACTTAACAATTTGTTAAAAACATGCTCATGCACACGAAAATGCCAATGGAAAATGGAAAAAAATAAACAAGGCCTAGAGGCGTCCCAAGCCAAACAGAAACCAAAACCCAAACAAAAAGAGAAAAGGAAAGACAACAAAAAATGTTAACTTATTGTTACTTTCTCCTACAATTTCGTGCACTTGACAAAACAAAATGCTGTCGAATTTTCACCAAATTCAAAGTCAAAATGAAAAACCACCGAAAGAAAACACTTTTGGATTATGCAAACAATCGACAATCGGACAGGGAAAGACAATAACAATAACAACAACAGCAATTGCATTTCATGAATGCCACTTGAGGTTGTCAATGTTGAACGTTCAAGTGTGCACTCAAAAAAAAAACGGTATAGTTTTCAAACAAAAATGCAACCATCAGGTCAGTTTGGGACTTAAGCTTAATTATATGTATATTATATATTATAATTGCGACTAAATGAAATCCAGCAAATCCAATTCATTCAATTGTACTTTCGATTAATTATGTTATGTAAATTTTGTTTCTTTCAAGCTATGGCTAATGATATCAACAATATTTTTGGACAATACATTAATTGGAATAACAAATACTTGTTCGTTAGGCTATTTAAATAATAATGCTACCGTTTTTGTTAGACTGCTTAGCAATAGAAAACAAGACTTCTTTCCTTATGCTGATTAAGAATATGCTCGAGTCTCATTTGCATATGCCCTTTGGGTACAGTGTATAATAAAGGATACACATTTTTCTGGCTTTTAAAGCTGAAATCACGGCGAATCCATTAAGCTGTGTCCCCTATACATATGTATTGAGAACAGGTCGGTTCAATATATAGTTTAATATATAGCGTTTAAGAGTAATATACGACGATTTCGAGTATCAAATAATGATCAGTATGAATGATTGAACAGAAGCAGAAGTGGTTCGATTGTAGAGAGTTTTTAGACAATTATGAGCAATTGCTGTTGTTTTATAAGGCATGAGGGACACATCGCGAAAACGACATTATCTTTTGAAACTTTTTATGTTTTCTGTGAGTGCAAGTTAAATAGTAGATGGTTTATCAATGCCCAGCGGGCTCCCACAGTTATTGCAATTACTTTTATGATTATCACACAGACACGCAGACTCAGGCACACCGATACAGACACTCCTGTATGTTATGCAACGCACCATAACTTGATTGAACACAATTTCATTTTATAGTTTATAGCTTTGCATTCATTTATTGCACTTACCGTTGAGAGCAGACACCGAGACTCGCGCATTGCGCCCAAATAGCCCAAGAAGCTCATGAAGAACATTATGGCGCCAATGACGAGGAGCACATAGGCCAACTGCTCTATGACCTGGGGCTGTGTAAATTGCTGCAAACGAAACAGATATAGACAGAGACATTATAGACGATATATTCGTAATTTGTTTAAATTAAGCATACTCTGTGCGTAGATGCAATTAACCTTTGGCCACATCTGCGTACCTACGAGTACTCTTTATAATTAAATTATGAGAGACAGGCGGCGCGTAATGGGCGTAGGCGAACTTTAAATGCCGCACTAAATGAGGAAATACTCATATTTAAAAGTTGGCCAATGTCTCTACCGTGGAAAACAGCGACGTCAGCTATTTTAATTAAAAGTTTGCCAAAGTAATTTCCTTTTGTAATCGTGTCTGGGCATGCAAGCGGTTCATTGACCAAATGGACAAATGCGCCGATTAGTTGTTGTCCGCATGTCCAGGCATGTCCTGACCCCGTCATTAGCCAAATGCTATTTGCATTGGCATTCTGAAACAATTTTCAATTATATGTCAGCCATTGACAATGTGCAGTAAAAAAAAGCGCGCCAAATGTATTTACTCGCAGAACTTTTAACATGTGCAGGACATGCAACAGGACGGCCATGTCCTTTGTCCAACCCATCAAAATATGTATGTAAGTATTGTACGAGTATGTATGTCTGCGGAAATTGTTGGATTTTTTTCTTTCTTAATGTTCCTCGCACCCTTGGCTATAACAGGTTTCGGCCAACCCTGAGTTTTATTTCATAAGAATATTATTTGCCGGCGCTTGTATGTACATTATGAATTGTGTTTTAGTGGTGGCTTTTGCGTATTGTTATTATTATTTTAGTTGCTTGTTAAAGAGTAAAAGAGTTTTGTAAAAATGTGTGCAGCGCAGAGAATCGATAGATGATCTGACCTACGATTATCCAACTAGTCTGTATGAACGTGTTTACTTTGTTTTTTTTTGAAGAGCTACATTTTTTAGAAGATTTTACATTTATGCATATGACCACTGGAAAAGCTTTCTGTCTAGCACTCCTCTAAGTTATAATGACACAGCTAATTATACTCTGTACATGAAGTGTACAAGATCTAGCCCTGTCTGTCCGTCTGTCCGTCCGTATGAGCCCCTGGATCTCAGAGACTATAAGAGATAGAGACACCAAATTTTGCACAAAGATGCCTTATGTGTGTACGCTATTCGAGTTTGTTTTATTTTTGTTGATTTTCCCCCACTTCCCCCCTATGGGGGTTTTCCCGATTTTCCATTGGTATAATCGCCCATATCTCGGAGACTATAAGACCTAGGAACACGAAATTTTAGTCCAAGATGCCTTATGTGAATACGCAGAAAATGTGTATTTTCCCTCCCCCCCCGCAAATCGTAACTCCCGTAGTTCTTGGACTTTCGAACTCAAATTTTGCAAATACCCCCAGTTAGTTATTATGTGTCCGTATGCCATTTCACTATGATAGACCGATTTAACAAGAAGTTATAGCCATAAATATATTTGCTGCCCACGCGCTGCCCAAGCGCTGCTTTGGTTGACTGCAAACATGTTTACACAGACACGAACAGATGCGCATAGGCATTCATATAGGCTTTGTATATGAGCAAGTACACACCCTTTACGTGAGTTCGAATACAGAGAGAGATAAAATCGATCAAAATTATTGAATGGTATTTAGTTTGTTAATATTATTACTGAATCAGTTGTTCGAATGGAGTTAAACTTGGCAAACAAAAAATGTATAATTCTTCTGTGTATATACGAAGTAAAAAGTTGATCAAATTCTTTGCTTCAAGAAGCTCTGTGCTTTGTAACCAAACAACCAATAGACAGTCATGTATGTATGTATTCATTCGATATTGTTTATTGAATATGAGTCTATAATTATATATAGTTGCCCTATCAGAATTCGCGTATTATTTTAATGACATAATAAAAAGCAATTCCACCCATACATCTAATTTTCCAATGTCAACAATTACGCGCATACTACTTATATAAGAGTACATGCAATCACATTATCGGCTATCTGGCTATTGGTCTGGTCCGCATAAGAAGTACATTTTTAAGGGTAGCTCTTGCTAGCTATTGATAGATTGTAAATAGTGGAAAAATAATAAGCATTTCGTATGCGGCAGTGTGTCAAATGTGCCCTAATTCATGGAGTATGCGTTTTTATACTGTCAACGCTGACATGTGAAAACATGTCTTAGTTAATTGGGCTTCTTAGTGTTTTCACTTTCACTCTGCAACTCACCTCAATGCGCTCGCTCTCGACCAACTTGAGCAGAGCAATCAGGGAATGCTTGTCCACAGCTAACCATAGTCCAGCGCCGAATATAATTGTCCCGAGTAACTGCAATAGATTTAACAAATAATTACTTATGTGTACCATGAAATTATCGAAGGAAAAACCATGTCAACGCAACCAACCCTCTGTGCAATGTTTGGACAATAGCAACAACAACAACAACAACAACTTAAATAACATAGACTGCGCATAAAACGCAACATAATTGAGTGTCGCGTTTGTTGATTGCACTTAACGTGATGCCAACAAGCGATAAAAACGCTGCCGTTGTCCAAGTCAATGAACTTGAAGCCGTTGCGGCTGACCAGCCACATAACAAGTGTTGGAAAAACTGCGCATGCGCAGAGATTTGCTTGATTGATGGCAGTCGAGAGCTGGGAGCCGGGAGCTGGAAGCCGGCAGCTGCAATACTATAGTCGCGCCTTCCACTCCATAATTTTAAATTTCGCCATGCAAACGAACAGCAACAGCAACAGCAACAAAAACATTTATTATAAAATGCCGATGTGGCAAATAAATCTTTATGTTTTTGCCCATTTAAAATCGAGAGAGAAATTTTGCAATAATACTTTAAGACATTGGTTGCACCTGAGAGGGAGTAAACAATTTTGTTTGGAAAGCGTGTTTATAATTATAACTCAATAAAAAACTAATGCAGTATCGCGCCCTGCAGCGACTTTCTACACTCGATCCTCAGTTAAGGTTTGCATGCAAAAGCTTATTTAATTTCATCGGGGTAATACCAAAATGGTAGGTCCCTTTGCCATCTTTGTATTAATTGTTAGGAAATGTAAGGCTGGCAAACTAAGCAAATTAAATTAAATTAAGTATTGAAATTTAAAAGTATTTTTTTAGATGAGGATTAGAAACCAAAGGTCATTCCAATTCCAATTAATATGTTTTTGAATTTGTTTCAAGCTTCCTGTGTAGAGTAGATGGAAATTATCGATTTTGAATTTTAAAAATTAGTGTTTTTTAAAATTTTAGAATTGGGGGCACTTATCAAACACTCTTGAAATTTATGGAAAATCTAAGTATATTTTTTATTTTTTATTAAAACCAAAACTGTGAAATACAGTTTACTATTAAAGACACCAGCTCGTGTTTATCTTGATTAGATTTATATATGATTCTTTAAAATCTATCCCTAAATTTCAGTTTTTTTTGTGTACGTTTCCTGCGATAAAGTATTTAATTATTTATATATTATGATACTTACGAAAAATATGAAATTAAATATGCAAAGCAAATACTTTGCACACCACACACCACAATCGAAAACCATTTTCGTTGTTTTCGAAATTTTGCGGCTGTTTTCAATGCACTCTGAGGAAGAAGTAATTTCAAGTGAGCGAGTGGCTGGGCCTGTGGCTGTAAGTAGAATAAAAGACAGAGAAAGGCCATTAGAACGCATAGCTATAATAGGTATTTGCTTTAGTTAACAATTTCTAATATTATGAAAATTCCTGCTAATTATTTAAAGTGCCGCAAAAGAAAGTGTCACGAATTGTAGAATACGAGGAAATTGTAACGACATGGAAATATTTTCATACCTATCGCATTTCTTATCAGGGCACGTGCCCAACAAATTAACATAAACGTGAACAAAGTGGATGAAAAAACTAACAAATTGTTTAAGTTTTGTGTGCGCAGTCATGACTGAGACTGTTAAATTGCGCCAAGCTGGCTGGAAAGCTTCATTCATTCATTAATTCATTAAAGACAAGCCTGGCTAAGTGCGAGCTTGTGAGCCAAATGAACTTTCTCATTAGCAGCACAACACACACACACGCACAACACCCACACACTCTTGCAGATTTAACACATAGATGCATGCGCTATGTGGCAAGTTCTAGAGCTGGTTCTCGCACTTGCCTGTCTTTTGAATTCGACGTCTGTTGGCGGCTTTCGCGACGCACTTTACTTTTCTTTTCAACTCTTGCCATAGCTGCTAGCAGGTTTTTGTTCCAAGTTTTGTTTGCATCTAAATATACTATGTTATGTGTGTGTGTGTGTGTGTGTGTGTGTGTGTGTGTGTGCATACAAACAAACAATGTCACGAGCTATTGAAGTCTGAAAGTAGAACAGTCGGCGGGTGAGTTGACGAGCCGCCAGCAGCTGCCAAACGCGGGTCTGGCCAACTTTTTTCTTTCTGGCTGCTTAAAAGTTTGTGATACCCCCGCACTCCACTGCAGTAGCAGTAGCAGTACCAGCAGCAGCAGCAGCAGTAACAGCAACGCTCAGTAATAATGTTTTGGCTAAAATGTAATTGTGCACTGTCGACACACAAAACACAAAAACCTTTAAGGCCCTTTTAAAAGCGAGTGCACTTAACTGCAAAGAGCTTAAAGGTTTATGCTACATTGTACAAACTTATATACGTATGCCTATACATACTATATATACTATACATATACTATATACGTACACAGTGAGGTGTGCCCTAGTCCGCCCGCAGCCCCCTAATGTACGGCACCATACCTATTTGGGGATGCAAATCACGGTATATTTTAATTGCTTCTCCCATTGTTAAACGCTTGTGATAAGCTCAACTAAAGTTGTTCAAAACTTTTCAGCTTCTATTAGGCTGTGGGAAAGAAATTATGAACATTTCTGGTTAGGTTTACTACCCAGTTTAAAGTGTATTAAAACCAATGCCCAGGCTACAGGCCTTTAACTCATTTGTTAAAAAAAAATTTAATCTTATTTGTAAAATGTATTTATCTATAATATACTCGTATGACTATTATTAGTTGGATTGAATCAGATAGTTAAATTATTTCAACTTTACGGATTGCTCTAAGAATCATATAAAAATAAATGTGTTAAATAAACCAAAATACTTTCACTTTGTTTGCTTTAATGCTTATTTGCATACCTGGTTGATTAACATAATATTTATTGAATTAATTGTCAACATTGTGGTCTGATAATTAGCACATTTCATTATCATTATGATAGTAGTTTATTTTATACATACATAGTTCCTAATTCTAAGATGAATTAAATTTTTTAACACTTTGTTTATAATTGAATTTTGGGCCGATTTCATTGATTATTTAAATCAGTATCTATATTTTTGGTCAAGAGGCTTCAAAGATTGCACAAATACGGGTTTCAAAGCTGTAAGATTTCTCTATAATAATTGAGTTTTTAAATTTAAATTTAGATTTTAATAATATTCTAGCACCGTTCAAAGTCAATATTGGGATTTCTGAAATATTCATAAAATTTAATATTATTATATGAGCTTAATTTTCAGCAAAAAGCATGGAGAAATTGTTTTAAATAAGTACATTCGATAGTTTTCAATGAAAATATGAAGATTTCTTTTCATTAATGCATTAGATTTTAAATATAAATTATAAATATACGTAGCAAACTGCAGTTTTAAATAATAAAACTACTGAAAGAGCTAATGTCACACAGGCTATTATATTTAAATTTGTATTTAAATTCGCAGCCATTGAAAGCTTCCGCCACATTTCATGAACAATTTAAATTTATCATCGGTACTCACCCACACAAACAAACAAACATTCATATTCATATGTACTAAGCACTTACTATGTACCCGATATGGGGCATAATCTTTTAATGAACTTTTAAGTGGCGCACAGATAATATTAATGTGCTCTCAGGATCCCCAGCAGCTTCATCAGCATTGTTAGCATTATGGGACAACACAGACAGTAGCTTTGGATATATGTACAAGTATACATACAAGTATATACATACTTGTATATATATATGTACATATGCATATGTGTATGTACTTACATGCTTATGCATGTGGGTGTAAAATACTTGTATGGAAAGCTCAGCAGACAGTTTTAATTGCGCCTCTATAGGCTAATTAATCTAAATTTTTCGCATGCCTATCATACAAGCACACTCACACACACATACACACACACACACATATACTGACAAACTTAGAAATTTCAGCGCAGTTGTTAAAATCATGAATAAATGCGCTGGTTGTGTGGTTAGTCTTTTGATTGCTGCTGTGAAATTGGCAGGCGAACAAATGCATTTATGAAATGAAAAAAAAAATGCCCATTAGAGATGTGCGTGAGTCGTGTGTGATGACAAAAAATATAAGCGATACTATACATACTATGAATGCAATGGCATAAAAAAAGCTAATTCGTAACATCAAAAAAATTGTACATTCAAAATGTACAAAAGAATACTATTAATAATTTAATTACTAATTAATTGCTAAATAGATGTGAGATTTTGCAATTTCGTTTAAATGTGGAAATGCTGATTTATTTTGTCTCTATTTTACGGATTAATAATATTAGACGAACTCTTCGTTTTTTCCAGCTTATTACATCAAGATTAATAATGATAAAAAATTGATCGAATTGTGCATTTTCTGCTTTTTATTAAAAGAGAAATGTTGGTTTTTTTTAGCTTCAACATAAATAAATGATTTTTTAAATGATTGCAAATAATAGCCTTTTTGAAATTTTTAAAACAAAATTAATGAATTAGAAATAAAATAAGTAATGCCTTTAAAAATGATAAACCTTGCTTTACTTGAAAGATACTTCGTTAAAAAAAAACGCTTTTCGAGAAATTGTTCACGCGCTCATCTTCTTTGTATACAAGTATACCTATATATATGTTTCAATATGTATTTACAAATAGTCAAATCGTCAGATATGCGCTTCGATTAATGTGCGACTATACAATTATAATTAAATATGCAGGCAGCCGCACAAAAAATTGCAAATTTATGGCAGCAAGCTGTCAATTGGATGTAAACCGGAATTTATTTATGTTCATTGGTTTATTATTTTTCGTAATAAAGTGCTTTGTAAATTGTTTTTATTTGTGTATGGTGGAAAGTTGGTTGTTGGCTCAAACAATGCATAAAAATTGGCGGGGCGGCTCGACTGGCTGCGATTAAAAATTTCTATAACGTACTATAACTATGTGCGGGTATGTCTATGGGTCTGTGGAAGTTGAAGTTGTAATGCGCTGACAATGATGTGGCAAAGTCGCAGGTAAAGGCAAAGGAAATGGCAGACATGGTTTCGTCTTCATTGTGCACATAGTATGTACTTACTTGTAGTAAATACTTTATACAAATGTATATACTTATGTATAAATGCAAGAAATGGGTTAAAGAAAGTCGTAACTTGTATTAATTAAGAGGCAAAAGTTGAAAGTCAAAGGCAAAAACCCTGCACTAAGCATAAGCTAAGCAAAGCAAAGTTTTTGTTTTAGGTTATTTTTTATGCTTCGGAATAAGTTTTAAGTCGAGGCTTAGCTTGGGTCGGTCATAAAACTTGTGCAAGTTTCTTAGCAACGTTTAAGGCCAAAGCGTGCAATGCTGGCAACATCGGTCATAAATGATATTTTAGTGTGCTACCTCTGCTAACGGCCGTTGCACAGTTTTCCCCAAATGTGTCGCCGATGTTGCTGCAACTTAGTAGTCGACCGCTTCTGCCTCTGTCTTCGTCTCTGCCGCTGCTGGTGTTGCTGCGGTTTTATTTCAGTCTCCATGACTCTTGTACTGCTGCCAACTTCTGCTACACTTGTCACGTCTTCTTCCTCTTTTTCTTTTGCGGCTGCTGAGCCTCTGGGGCAAGAATTTAGAAATTGTATTTGTACGTGTATTGCCGATGCTTTCTATTTTCTAATACAACTTGCATTTGATTTGTGGTCTATGCTTGCGAACTCGCTGTACATCTTGTTACACATCAGTTTTCTCACTCTACGCCTCTTCGAGGCACCCTCCGGCGCAACACACGATGCGTGACAAAGCGTTGATCGAAAATACATATACTTGTATATACACATACATATATGTATGAGTATATAGTATCTGTAAATAAAATAATAATAGCAAAAAGTCATGCGGCGCGCTCGAAACCAAAAGTGGCTGACTGATTTATTTTTCCTCTTCATGCTTCTCAACAGTAATCATGGGAAATGTGCTGAGTACTTTTTCCTTTCTTATTTTTCCAGTTTTTTTTTTTTAACTGATACTATGTTGGCTTCAATAGCGAGCCACTTACCACAGTGGCAGATCTAACTTCAACATTAGTTAGGCTCGGAGTAAGTTCTATGATGTGGGAAGCTGGTAATTAAATGTTGCAGTAATGAACCCAATTGGGTCAGCAGCTCTTTCCCACAGGCCAGTCACATACTTAGCTAACTTTAATGGCAGAGGGTGAGCGAAAAAAATGCGCAAATCTGCATAATAATGTTAGAAGAGTTTATTTTGTGCATAGACCAGTGAAGTAAATGCTCCTCGGCTATATGAGCTCTGGATGCTGAAGGCAATTAACAGTTAATTAGGAAATGCCCTTTTATTTTATAGACAAAAGAATTGTTGGTTATTGACTAACTAT